GCATTTAACTGGGTTCTTTCGGTAACAAAGAAAAAGCTGAAAATTGCTGGGTTCTTTGCATCGTTACCTTGTCTAACATATCTTTGTGATAAAAGACTAAAGTCATCAATACACTGCGTTCAGTTATAGAGAAAATTGCACAGATTCTGCGGGTGTTGAGCAAATAAAATTATCGCTCTATTGACGGCATGTTTTTATTATTATTATTATTATTATTATTATTATTATTATTATTATTTTTGCAATCCTTGTGCGCGCGCTGAATTTCATTAGCAAAAGCGCGCGCGAAAACTGTGTTCGGCCACCTTAATAAGATGTTTATGGTATGGCAAGCAGGAGAAATTTAATTCGTTTAGCGCAACTGGTTTGTACTAGCCGACATTAGGGAGTTTTAGCAAACCACGACGGCGACGGCAATTAGAGTGTCACCAAACAAAAGGTTTAACTAGCAGAACATGGCTGTGCACGTGCGTTTTGAATCGTGGTACATTTTTATGTCGTCCTCTGCAAAACAACAACGTGAAAGGACTAAATTCTACGTATTTTCGAGAACACGAACCGCACTGGCTAAGTCGTATCTTCTTTTGGAATTGAACGCTGTCGGTGCATGTTTAACCTGAGCAAGCTTTCAGACCGATAGACGTTCTGAATCGATTTACACAGGTGCGACATTCGAAGGTATAATATTAATTCATTTTTTACAAGACGTCGTCCCCGCCGTCGCCGCCGTCATTGCTAAAACTCCCTATTTTGCTTGCGAACGGCGATGAGCTGAACTTAATTCTGCCGAAGTCTGCTCGTTCTCTTTACTTTTCTTTCCTTTTCTTATCAGACTTTTTGGTATTGCCATAAATAAATATTGTTAGAAGAAAATAGTCAATATTTTTGCATTAAAGTTTGCAACTTTTTCACCGCAAAACATTACTGGTCGCAGCTGCCGGTCTAGATGGGAAAATCTACACCGCTTTCAATATCGATTTCAGCCAATCAAATTCGTATTTCGGTAGTTCCCAGTCCTTGTGACACACAGCCATATAATAATTCTAAGTAATTAATTGAACATTCCAGGCTAAAGATTTACAATCCAAGAAATTATATATCATTCAGAGTCTGTTATTCACATACATGTATGTCCATACTACTGGGAAATTAAATATCGGTTATTGAACTACTGCAAAACCATGTTGATAGACACAATTTTTCGGGAGGAGAGTTAGGCAATTTTCGACAATTTCCTGCACAGTAATACATGCAAAGTGAGCTATCCCAATAACGCCAAAGAAATAAAACAGAACAATATATCCTACACATGCAATATTTTTTAAAGAAGTATTCTTTAAATAAATGCCCCCCAGGCCCGCAGTGTCAAAAATGATGTCATAGGGAAGAAGAGTCAACTACTCAAAGTTTATGAAAGTTAGAGGCAAAATTCTACAATGTAGATCAGACTACCCATGATTTTATTTAGTCCCTGCATTTAGAAGTTGGTTCAAAGAGCTCTTTG